ACGTATCAAGATCCTCATAAAGATAGCGGTTACCACATTCATAAGTTGTATATTTAGTTTTTCGAAAACTAGCAAACTGATAAGGTAGCAAAACATTATAATGTTCGCTATAGGAGAATACATCTTCTTGTAATCAATCACAAGGCGTTGAGAGAAACTTTGTGCCACTAGGTGTGCCTTACATTGCACTATCTCATTCTTCTCATAACGCTTCCTTATGAAAAAGCATTTGTATCCAACGAACTTTACATTTGGAGGTGTAAGAATTACATCTCTAAACACCTTGCATTTCACAAGTGAATCTATTTCAATATGGATTGCTTGTTTCCAGATTGACCAATTTGTTCTACGTGAACATTCATCAACGAACTCAATTCAATGTCATCGCTTAACATGATATCAGTAGCTACTGTGTATACAAATGTATTGTCAACTATCATCTCATTTTGATTTCAACCTCATCCCAACTAGCATAATGGACCGAAATATCCTGGTTTTCAAAAGGCAGATTTTTCTCATCTAAGACACTTCCATAATTTAGAATAACCTCATGCATCGAAATGGTTGAGTAGGCAATGGTCAGATTTAAACTAGTTTCACTAGTTGATGTCGTGAGTTTCCTATTATGAGGTTATGAATCCTTTGAACCAACAAGTCTGTCATGCTTCCGGGTAGGAACAAATGATTGGCTAACCGCAAATGGACCAAGTTGTGTGGCCAACCATCTTTCAAAGGCTGCTTGTCCTTTAGAAGCAATGTTTTGACGTATATGAGGTATACATGATCTCATCACCTATGTCTTTGCAAGCGTGTTTCCAGCGGGTATATGTGTGCTATTTCATTGAAGGGTTTATATATTTGTTTATTGGAAACAAGCAATTCATATCTTTGCAGACGTGTTTGCAGCGTGTATATGTGATCTTGTCACCTTCGCTAGATTAGTAAAAGCATCGGGCATGCTTTGAGCAATGCTCTATAGATCTAAAATACAACACACTTCAATTTTAGACTGTGCAATGCGAGGATCTAAATAAGACATGGTGGGGATAATCTAAGATAGTTCGCGATGTTATTCAGGAACGTTAATATTCTTATTACCCTTAATGACGGGAAGACTGTCTCATCGAAGTGACTAGTCCGTAAAATGTGCGGTAAAACGATCGTTTATCAAGGACTGTAAATAGCAAATAATTGATAGGGAATCATAATCGACATAGATTTATATTCTTCTCTAAAAACCCATTTTGGTATGTAGTTAAGGCACATAAAGTGTGCACCCAAACACACATAAGTGTGAAAAGTCAGGCTCATACCCAGTAACTAATCGTAAGGGTGAAAAATATTAGGTAGTGGTGGGCCTTAAGTGAACCAACATAGTTGTGTGAAGAATTGCAAAGACCACAAGCTTGGTGCACATGGCCAAGGTCCGAGTGATCAATAGAAAACGCTTTATGAACGGTTCTACTAGCCCTTTGTGGGTGTGAACATGGGATGCTAGATGTTCAACTTCAATCCCAACTTACATGCAATAATCGTTGAAAGTTTGCGACGTAAACTCTCTAGATTATCCAATCAAATTAACTTAATCAAATAATCAGGGTGGTGAACCCTAAGCTCAAAAATTTGTGTTAGGAGTTTCGCAAATACTGCATTGTGTGTGGAAAGTAAGAAAACGTTTGACCAACCTGTTGATGCATCAACGAACACCATAAAATATTTAAATGGTCCGCATGTTGGTTGGATAGGTTCACAAATATACCCTTAAATATTCTAAAGAAACTTTGGGTTTTTTTTTTTTTTTTGGCTGGGAGTGGGGAAGGGGGAAAGGAAAAGGGGTCATGAATAATCTTTATATTTGATGGTTAAGTGATCAATTTCCCCATAAAGCAAGCTTGACATGACGTATTCCAAGAATGAGTTTCAAATTTCTAGTATGAGGAAGCCCGTAAGATACTTTGAGGATACAGCACATCATATCTATTCCTAGATGTCCTATACGATCGTGCCAAACTAGGGAAATGCTTTGAAACCTGAACTCCTGGCCGACCACATGGTGGGCCTCTACAACTTATATTGTTGTAGTATACAATCCAGTTGTGAAGCTTTCCTTTGTCGCATGAATATGCTTCTAGCCATATTCGTATGAAGTGATAAAAAGATATTCCAAATCATTCTTTTCAGTGATTTCGGCATGTAATTATTCTCTCAAATATTCTTAAAGCTCAACAACATTCTTCCGAAATGGGTGAGTAAAAGGCCTCTTTAATGGTTAATTTAGTACCCTTGGACAACATGATATGGGCTTGCCGTACCCCTCAATCAGATTGGATTGGCCTGAAAGAGTTGTTAGAGGTGAATTTTTAGGTACAAAATTAGTAAAATAGTGATGTTCATAGAAGATAGTGTACGTTATTGCACTATCTAACAGACAAATAACTTTTCCACAAAACAATCCTAGAAATAAATTAATTGAATTGATCATATACATAAGGTACAATTTGAATTCCATTTATTCAATTAATTATTTGAGAAATAATATCCATATGTAATTATCTAAATAGTTTAAAAGCACCACACAAATAATTAGCCTTTGGGGTTTAGCGATTAAGGGAACATGACCAACATGTTTGAAAACATAATCTAATCTTCCATCGAAGCAGATGCCTCCTAAAAATCAGAAATCTCTATGGTGGTATCTTCCACTTGTGCAAAGTTTGTCTCAAAGTTTTGATGACGTGAATGATACTTTGTAATAACATTAGGTGAAGCTTGGCAAAATAGGACCAATGTCCTTTTGAACCACAACGGTAACACATATTAAGATCAGTTGAATCCAAATTGGTTTGAGCTTTGCCCTTACTCTTGAAATTAGAAGCCTTGGAAGCCAGGGAATCGCACTTCGAGGTCGGATTTCCTCCCTTGGATGGGCCTCTGCTTTGTCGACCTTGGGCCCATGGTTAAGGGTTCGACCCTTTGCCACTGCCATGATGCCTCTTGCTCATTTGTGGCCTCGAGAAGTGGTAACAAGTGCTTTAAGCGCATCATTCGAGCCAGTAGGTATAACTCTATGATTCTTCATCATAAACTAGTTCTACTTTTCAGCAAGTAGTAAGATGGAGTTCAAATCCGAAAAATTAGTGAATTTTTGTGCCCTGTATTGTTGTTGGATGACAATATTGGTGTTGTGGAAATTTACGCCCTTAATATCACTAATGCCTTTATAAATTTAAATACAACCTATTAAAAAGCCTTTCAATATTGTTTCTCATATCTTCGATTAAAATATGTTGGAGAATATAGTTGCACATTGGGCCAAAAACATAATGCTATTTATATATGAGAATTTTCACCTTTAATATCACCGATACCTTATATAACCCACATCTAGCGGTAGGTGGTTAAGTAGGCACAATATTGATGATATTTTTTATGGACCATATTGTACCTCTAAAATTTATCATATATACATACAAAAACATAAATGGGTAGAAGTGGAATCCACGATACAAGTAAATTTATTTAGTAGGACATGCTGAGCTTTGTACCTCAAAACGAATACAAAAAATACAAGAAAAAACCAAAAATAAAAAACAAACATGCAATGCAAATACAACATAAATGACTAAAAGTCTAAAATCTTAATATTTTTATACAAGAATACCTCAAAGATACAAAAAATCGACAAATATAACTCAACAAACACAAAAGACCTAGTAAAATTCTAAATCACATACATTTATTTAGAATCTCGAAATTAAGTGAAACACATAATGCACCTAAGCTTCTGCACGTTTATGCAGATAGGCTAAAATTCAATTAAGTCATGACAACATCTACTATTTGTTTCCCTTTCAAGATCTCACAAAATCTCACTTAGGTTAGGCTACAGCTCATGACTGCCCTAAAGAAGATCCGTAATCAGAATATATCATATAATAACAAAAATACATGTGAAGACAGAAATACCGTTAGATTAGAAGGTTCATATTTACACTTCTAAGAAGTCTCATTCAATAATTAAAAGGATTAAGTATCTAAACGCCAACATTTTTGTATCATTTTAAGTTAGTCTCATTCTTTTTAAATATTCTAAATAAGTACCCAACCTGTTGAAATTGTCATATCCGTTAAGCCCCAATTAAATTTCTGTTCAATTAAATACAACTTACTTTGTCTCCAATATCAATAAAAAGTCATTTTTGAAAAAGGAAAAAAAAAAAAAAAAGCATCAATAAAAGGTCATGGAACCATGACTTCCACCAAGTAACCGTCACCATCACCGTCTCAGGTCATCACCTCCAGGCCATGCATAACCACAAACTCAACCTTACAACTCGAGTCACCAATATCGAGAAGAAGGTCATGTAGGTTGCTGAAATGATATAAACTACCATGATGCGGCCACCACTATCTTCACCGCCCTCAAAAAAGAACTAGACGCTTTACTAGCTGAAAATCGGCGAATGAGGAAATCACATGAGCAGAAACAAGTTCCTTGAAGCCCTATTTGAATTTTTAACTCCCTTCTTTGTTAGGAGATTTTCCGATCTTCATTTTTGTTAGGTTGTGTATTTGTTTGAAATGTTTAAAAAAGTTGTGACCAATTTAAAATGACAGTAAAAGATTATAGGGTTTTAGGTACTTAATCTTAAATAAAATATACCTTAATTAAGGCTTAAGATGGCAAGAGAATAAATATCTTAAGATCCACGAGAAACACATTTGATAAAACAAATTAGAGCCGTCCGATCAAGCAACCCTTGAAACCAATATTGCGACACCACCCAAAATCCCAAAATAATATAAAAGGCTCCACTACTTTCCTTCTTAAAGATGCCAAAACTAGAACAAAGACACCACTCACCAAAAGATCATACGCAAAAAACAATTAAATATACACCACACACACATGCTAAAGTCGAGTTCCAACACAAAGAAATTCAAGATTATGCGTTGAGTACTTTGTGACGAGAGAGATTTGATAAGGTTAGAGTAATTTCCTTCTTCTTTTCTTTCATTTTGTAGTAGGAAATGTTGTCATGTCATGCGAAGTAGAATGGCTAGTTGAAAATGGAAGAGATTCTGATGTGTAACTGCGGATATATCCCTTATGTCCCGAGAAATAGCGTTAATTAGCAGAGCTCAGAGAATTCAGCAGATTGATCCCAGCTGAGCTGACACATATCAGTTCAAGCTTTGCTTGTTTTTTTCATATCTGGGTCGTGCAGTCAAGGACCCATTTATGCATGCACAGAGTTTCATTTTATTTACATAATATCTGTATAGAATTGCATGCAATCACATGAAGGTTAGGGCTCTTGACTGAGAGTTTTGAGAGTTCGGGCCAGAGGGATATTGAAAGCAAGGGGATTGGGGGATTTCAGGATTTTCTTTACTAAGAGTAACGGAGCTCACTTAATGTTGTTAATCGTGGATTCACTCACTCAGCCAGGAAAAATATTTGATCTCAAATGTTTGTTTTAGAAGGAGGAGTCACGCACCTAACGAAATCTGAGATTAAAAGAGGAGATCACACAATCAGAGAAGTGAAGAGAAACAATGAACTTTAATTCAGTCAAATATTATGAATGCAAAATATTTACTGCTATTATTAATTTTGCATTTGTAGAAATTAATAGCATATATACATGCATATCATAGATGCATAAACCTGTTGTTGTATATAAGTGTCGATATCGATGTTACGCCAATATCGGAATATCTTAGGCAACCTATTTATGTGAAATAAAACCACTTTAAAAAATGATAAGTCGCCAACAGTATCATAATTGTTGCCATGCTATCACAAAGTGAATACATAAATAATACACACACACACACATTCATGAGCCCAGACTTCTAACTTTCTCCCAAGTCTAACAGTAATTTTTGCTTTCTGCAGAACTTTGTACACGAACCAGGTTTTCAGTTTGAACCATGAGTTTTTGTTAGAATGTTTGTTCTGTTTAATTCTTGGGTTTAAGGAGGAATTGTTGGAGTTCAGAAGCATCAGATGGATTGGAGAAAATCAAACTGGTGGAGGCTGAGGTTGATTGAAGTGGTTTTCCTTCTTGTGGCTGTAGTATTTGTCTCGGCACAAGAAAGTTCTCAGCAACAATCTTCAAGTCAGAATCATGCAGAAAAGGTTGAACCTAATTACTTAATCAGAGTGTCCAAATTGCTTTCACATCTCGATGGAGCGGTTTACAAGCATGACTGGCCTGTAAGTCCTATTTTCACTAAGCGTGTTGGATATTTTGTCTTAATGTTGTGAATCTAGATCAATCGTATGGAAGTGAACTGTTTGGCTAGTGAGAAACTTTTTCTGAAGAATGATTGCAATGTGAAACTATGACCTTTACATATATGTATACTTTTTACCTTCTTCTGTTTCTTCAATAAGCAGTCACCTTTCTTTTTATTATTAATAATAATTTTAGAAAGTATGGCACTCTAGATATATAGTTCTTATGAAACAATTTTGTACTGCTAGTAGTAATTGAAATCTGGTAATAGGACATGCGATTTGGATGGAAAATTGTGGTTGGTACGTTTATTGGATTCCTTGGGGCAGCATTTGGGAGCGTGGGAGGTGTTGGAGGGGGTGGTTTTTTTGTTCCGATGCTCACCCTGATTATCGGCTTTGATCAGAAATCATCAACAGCGATATCAAAATGTAAGTACTTTCATCACAGTTTTTTTATGTTTACTTTGTACCAAAGCCTCATACTCTCATAAACTTGTACACTAGTTTCATAAGATAAATGCATGGAAATTTTGCCTTGTTATTTACCTTTCACCCGAATGCACTTTCACGTCTTTCTATTTGGTTGGTCAGGTATGATCACGGGGGGAGCAGCAGCAACTGTCTTGTACAATTTAAGGCTAAGGCATCCCACACTTGAGTTGCCTCTCATGGACTATGATCTCGCGCTTCTGTTCCAACCAATGTTGGTGTTAGGGATCAGCATTGGAGTTTCTTTGAATGTTGTACTTTCCGAATGGATGATCGCCATCTTACTAATTATTGTTCTCTTAGGTAAAACTTCTCTTAACTGCAACATATCCTCCCAATTCGTGAAATGTAATTTGTTCCATCAACACCAATGCTCTCCTTTTCAATTCTTTTTGCAGGCACATCAACTAAATCATTCTTCAAAGGTGTCGAGACGTGGAAGAAAGAAACTGCAACAAAAAAGGTGGCGTTTAAGCTTTTCGTGTTTTCTATGTTGGTTGTGCATTCTGCATTGTATTAATCCATATCTAACACTGCACCTTATTTCATTTCCTTTAGAATTCACTGGAGGCTTCCAAACGCTTGCAATTGAAAGGTAAGTTGATCAACCATTTCTTCACTTCCTGTTATATGTTCCTTTTCTGCTGCCTAACATGCTCGTTAATTAGACATTGCCAGTGAAGACATAGAAGGCAGAAATAATCATGGAGGCACTGACAACGGCATACCAGAAGTTAAGGAGACTAAAAGAAAAGTGGTTAGAATTTTAATGCTAATACAGCCTAAACTTTTTTGCTTGGTTAATATTAGGAACTAACTTCTGTGACATTTTCCAGGTTTCTGTTCTTCGTAACGTTTACTGGAGGCAACTTGGAGTTATTTTTGCTGTCTGGATCATAATACTTGGATTGCAGATTGGCAAGGTTTTTATCTAGTAGCTTTTGATTTGCACTTTCCCTTCACTTAATTATATGCATTAATTAAGAAATACAATTGATGGGAAAATAATTTGTTGTCACAGAATTATGTGGCAAAATGTTCAGTGGCATATTGGATATTAGATTTCTTACAGGTACCTTCCATGCTCCCTTCAGTGAACAAACAGTATTCTTCCGATCTGATTGTGAACTAAGAACCTCACAGCGGGAACTTTTTTCTTCCTTTCTTTTGTTCAGATTCCTGTGACGGTTGGAGTGACTTCGTATGAGGCAGTTAAAGTGTACAAAGGGCAGAGGGTAATTTCATCCAGGGGAGAAGCAGGTGCAAAATGGAGAGTGCATAATCTTGTTTCTTTTTGTTTCTTTGGCATAATAGCTGGATTGATTGGTGGATTGCTTGGTCTCGGTGGAGGTTTTATTATGGGTCCTCTCTTTTTGGAGATGGGAGTTCCTCCTCAGGTACATTTCATACTTCATTTATTTTTAGCACTATGAACATAGCAAGTCGAAAAATCGACAGTATCGACAAAATATTGATACTTTATTTATGTCATATATCAATACTATTTAGTACTGTTTGTTATCGATATAACAGAACCACTTGTTATTAGATACCTTACAATCCTTATTTCATGTAAATGCAGGTAGCAAGTGCAACAAGCACCTTCATCATGTTATTCTCGTCATCCATGTCTGTCGTAGAATACGACCTCCTAAAGCGATTTCCAATTCCCTACGGTAAATTTCTCAGCCATTGCAGTTTATGTTCGTAAAATGATGACTACAGGTGTTTAGTTAGAAGGCAGTTTCTATCTTCAAATAAATCATAAATGTCGGGTTCTTTCATTACAATTCTTCAACTTTCAGCTCTCTATTTCACTGCTGTGGCTATCGGTTCTGCGATCATAGGGCAACATGTGGTAGGGAAGATGATTAAGGCAATAGGAAGAGCATCCTTGATCATCTTCATTCTTGCTTTCACAATTTTTGTGAGCGCACTGACATTAGGTATGTTAATGTGCCCCAGTTTCATGCGCTCTCCACTTTCACATATGCAGCCACTTTTTCATGGATTTTTTTGTTAATCATCGTATGGCTAATTTTTTTATTCAAAACAGGTGGGGTTGGCATAGCAAATTTGGTCAAAAAGATTGAGCATAAGGAGTACTTGGGTTTTCAGAGCATGTGTACTCATAAATCCTAACCCCTAAAACTCTTCATTACCTTAACTTCGAGAGCATAAAAAAATTTTCACACTTCTAATCATATACAAGATAATAATATTACTGTTCTCCAAAGTGCATATACCAAATTCAAATTTCGATTTCCTGCTTTGATTTTATAAATTGTGGGTTAACCAAACCAAACCGCTTATAATATTGTGGATGACCACCATAATGTCCATAACCTCTCATCTTATTGTTTTATAACCAATACTCTATTATTGTAAGTCTACAAAAAGATGCTTATCAAAGATAAATGATACAAGTTTGGAGAACGTCTTTCTATTGTCTTTCTCTACTCTACTTCTCATTTCTCTTTACTATTTTTCATTAGTTTTTGTTGGAGGACATTTTGCTTCCCCTAGTTCGTTTGCGTACTAAGTTCCAAGATACCTCAAAAGAATTAGCATGTCTTAGAAAGCAGAGCATGATTAAGCAAATAGTGACTTGCCTAAGCGATGTATAGTAGGAAAGCTAGAAATTTATCAATTTAGCATGAGAGAGAACTTGTGTGGTTGCATGGTTTTGAGGGATGGATAATCTGGTTTTCATAAGGGTTTGAGGATACCTATGTTGGCTAAGGAAACACAAAGGAAATCTAAAGGACCCTAAAAACCCAAAAAAGTGATTTCTCTAAGGATGCAAGACTGCCTACACTTACAGAAGGATTTCCCTGCTTGGTGCGATACATATAGAATTCTCCCTTGTCTCTCTCTTTATCCTACATTCTGATGTGCTTCTGCGTTCAATGCCTTGTATTGAGTTAATTCTTCCCTTTTATAGGTGGAGGGTAGCTTTCCTAGGTTTCACTAGGGAATCAATTGATTTTCCCGTTTCCTCTTGCTTTGGCTAAGTCTTCCTCTCTATTTTCCTCAGCACAACTACAACTTTTCTTTTAGTGTATCATTGATGAATGTCGTTGCCCCCGTGATGGTTGCATCGTGCCCTCCGTTCAAATTGCCTTCTTCCCTAGTCAACCTTCCATAGGCGCCTCTTCTGGCAATATGCCTTTTTGTTTTCTTTCATCATTATTCTATGTGAGCTAGGAAGAGAAATATCTCTTCTATTCATTAATGGACGCCTTGCACTAGGCTCTCACGTGAACTTGAGGATTTGGATTCTAGTTTCTTCCTATCTGGGTTAGTTGGTTTGTTAAGGGAAAGGGAAACTTGGTTTGTTTTCTCCTAGAATTGCTTATGTAGGATTCAAATATTATGGGTATGGATCTTTGGTGCTCCCAAGCAGCCTAAAGGCTTTCATAATCTTGACTCCACATAGACCCAATAAACTTTTGTAACTATCCACACCACAATCCACTTGGCAAGCCCCAATATGTGGCTTGGAATTACGTGACCATGTATCGTGGTTAGTGTGATTTGTACACGACAATGATGTCATGTTAAAGTTTGGTGTGGTAAATATATATATGGACTTTCGTGGGCTTGATGTGTATATACAAACACTTACTCCATAATTTATTATTTTATTAGTGTGGTGTGATTGTAAATATTCTCGATTACTCACCTTTGCATGTGTTTAAGCTTTGATTGGGGTATTTTACACAATCGGACCTTCAGACGTAACTGGGCTTGCATATGCAATTTTTCGGCCCCAACAGTTTTATAACCAATTATACAATATTTTTAAATATTTACTTCTCCATTAAAAAATTAAAAAAAAAAAAAAAAAAAAAAAAGTTTCATTTGGTAGTAGATACACGTTAAACTGAAAACATAACCAAACTAAACCACAACATTGGTAAACCAATTAGACCAGTTTTAAGCCATTTATGGCTTGCTTGTGGTATGAAATTTAAGTACTACACGTGAAATTTGGTTCATGACTTTGACCCTTTGACTTTGACCTAACAATTTTTGTTCTATAATCTGGCACTATAAAAAAAACCCTTTTCTAGACAAAGAATTTTGTCAAGTCAAATAAGGTATTGTCGCCTAATGTTTTGACCGAATGGACATTTATCGGGCAAATTTAGTAAGGCAAAAGTCATCGCTCAAACGTTTGCCTGATGAATAATAAAATTTCCGATGAAATAACCGATGAAAATTTTGTCAAGCCAAGTGCATTGACCAACTTGATCTAACGAACCTAACTTTCACAACGACAATATTTTGTTGCCCAAACCCATTGTTGAGCTAGAATAGTATCCTAAACGATGACAAACTTATAATTTTGCCTGATGAATATTCCACTATTTCGTTCGGCAACAGTATATCTTTCAAAAACCAAAAAAAATATTTTACCTGACGAAACAGTAGTCAAGCAAGGAATTTAAAGAAAATAAATTTAAAAAAAGTACAAAATACATGCTCGACGAAATAATTCGTCCAACAAACATTTTAATTAAAAAAAAAAATCATTTTTATACATTTTATTTAAATAAATAATAAATTTTAATTATATTAATCTCAAAAGAAATATCAATATAAAAATAAATTACTTAATTATATTAAAACTGAAATATTTGTACAAATGTATGTAAAATATTTTAAATTAACTAACTACTCATTGGGTGGCTGGTGGGATGGCGGCAGAAAGTCGCTTGGAGGATCGGGGAAGCGAATGCCATAGGCTACCCTTGCCTACACCATCTTTCACATGTACAGTCGGAAGTTATCATCCTATTGGCATGCCTCTTCTTCTCATTGTCGCATGGTCTCTAACTCCATCTTCAACTATAGTCTGGAAAATGTCCCCCTTGTAGGCTGAGACTGAGAGCTAGATGAAGAAGATTCCATGAGGTTCCGAATCTGACCTACTCCTAGGCCGCAAAACTCTTTACTTTCCCGTTGCCCAACCCCGTCCTGGATTAAGTGTTAGCTACTCTTTTGGCATGTCATGTTATTGTTGGGAGAGGTTAGCGAGGTACTCATCATTCTTCCATAATTAGCGTGCGTATCCCCCAGGCATCGATTTCCTTCCTCGGCTCGGTAAGTGAGAGGCCAAGTACCAGAGTGATGGATGTGCTTCTTCACTTCCCAATTAGCCTTATTTGATGTTGATTTCCACTATGAATAAAAATTTGATTAAATTTTAAAAAATAAAAATAAAAATAAAATAAAAAAGAGAATTGAAATGAAATGAAAGTTAAAAAAAGTTCTAAAAATTCCTGGCTTTGAGAATGACCTTGGAGCTAGTGCCACTTGTTCATCATTTCCATATACTCAGGGGTGGATCGCTAAGAGTTTTAGAACATAAGTCTCGAAGTATTTGTGCAGCTCGTATTTCCACTCCTTGAACTGATTGGTCCACACTCGGTTTATGTACTCGAACATACCCAGCTACTCCATGTCAATCTCGAAGTTGACTAGAAATAGACGAAAAAAATAAGTGTTACTTTAAAAAATACACTAAATAAGTAAAATTAATAAATCAATAAATTTTAAAAAGCTCACATACTGAGATCTCCTTCTTCATTTCCTTTTTCACCTTGGGGGCAAGTTCATTCTATAAAGGGGCTTTCATGGGGCACTTGGTGCAAATGATGGCTCCCATGTCATGAGTCAACAGGTTGTCGACTTTGGCATTCACCACCGATATCTTGGGTTATAAACGATCATGATCTTGCTTTGTGTTCTGTGAATAATTCGATCAAAGACAAGCCTCCACAGATCCCTACACTTTCACCTTCTTCACATACTAGCTGGGAGTTCTTCGTCTCTCGTAGGGGCATGGCAGCCAAATCGGCATCGTCCTGCCAGGCGTCAACAATAGGGGTTGGGCTACCACAACACCATGTAGTTTTTGGCTATGTATGTAGGGCAGATCAGGGCTTCTAAACCAATGAAGCTGATGCAATAGGCCCAACCACTTACCTACGATGGCTGTCTTGGTAACACTAATTCTTGCCAGTGAAATATTCACCATTTCTGTCGGGTCATCCTAACCCCAACTAGATGAAGAACGACGGCCACAGTTGATCAACTATGATGACATATGTAAAAAAAATCATAATAAAGAAATAATTCTAATACATCACAGTAATTTCTTAAAATAAATAAATAAATAAATAACTGTTAAATGACATTATTTCTTAAAATTCATAAAAATTATATATACGTATATATAATAAAAAAAAAGTCTAAAAAATTGCAAAGAAATTCTAAAATTCCTAGAAATTTTAAAAATCCTAAAATTTCCACCCTACACCCCAACCTGTATTCCACCCCGAGCCCACTCATAGAACACTCCGTGTGACTTCCAGATCACAAAATACGTCTAGGATCGACAAAAAACATCAGGCCATATCGGAACAACCACATAAAGTCAAGCTAGATTGAAAACTTGAATAAATACTTACACAAAGCACTTAATCAACAAGGCCAGTAGTCCCACAAAGTGAAGTACCAAAAACAACCAAATAATTCAACAACGTAACATTCTTTTGTTTATTTTATGGCTGTATCTAAGCTTTTTGTTAGACTGTCTACATACTCTAAGACAGGATAAAGCCATTCGTAGTTCATCATTGTCTTAAACTCCAAAATTTATCATGGCATTAATTGGCAGAAACATAGAGTTCTAGACAACAACCAATGCCAATATTTTTTTTTATGCAAAGAAAATTCATTAAATCACAAAACCTCTAGTACAACAGTTTCCAATGCAATCAAAATGAAAGGCAAGAAGAACAACATCAGGTAAACAGAAATCCCAAACTGAGGATTCGAATTGGAAAGACCAAGATGAGCTAAGGTATCCGCCACAAAATTCGCCTCCCTGGAAATGTGCTTCCAATCAATATGAATGAAAGACCGAGCTAGGTAATGAACATCAATGATGATAGAACTGACTCTCTAGGGAACGTCCCAATGACCTTGCACAGTTTAAATAATGAGTTTAGAGTCACCCTCCACATACACTTTTTGAAAACCATTATGCTTAGCAAACCAGAGACCTTCTAGTAAACCCATCACTTCAGCCACTGAAATAGTAGCACCATCCAAATTGAAGGCCCCCTCCCCAACTGCCTGGGAATTACTATTAAAGAGTAAAAAGGCAATAGCAGCACGGTTATTAGAAACTGAACCATCAAAATTGAGCTTAATCTCGTTCTAATCAAGGGGATGCCATTTAACGGAAGTAGAGGAGAGCATTAACTTCTTGAACTCAAGCTTTCCATTAGCTTTGAAGGAAACTAAACCAACACTAGCAGCATTAGCAACACAATGCATCGGGACTGGTGGCACACTTATGAACACCAAGTTAGTTCTTCCCATCCAATTTGCCAACAGTTAAGAATAACTTTACTAAGATTAGAGAGACTATCTTTGTCATTAGAATTTAAAGAATCTATCCAATCAATAAAGTTACCATTCGTACTAATGTAATCAGAATTGAGATTGCCAAAAGTTAAGTTCCAAACTTTATTAGCAAAACAACATTTGTAAAAAAGATGGCATTGGTCTTCTTCAACTTCATTACCCAACAAACATAACGTGTCAATATTTTTAACAAACCTACTTAAACATTTTCTGGTTTGTAATCTTTCATGTATCATGCGCCGGAAACATTTTAACTTTAAGAGGAATAGTTGGCTTCCACATTTTCTATAACAAGTTAATACGATTAGCAAAATGGTTATTCCGATTTTGAAGCCAAGTAGTAGACTTGATGGAAAAGTTCCATTATTGGATAAACCCCAAACTATCTTATCCTTCAAAGTTTGTAAAGGAAGGGGAATTAGGCAAATCTTTCTACTGATGTCGCAATCCACTACCGTACTTAGTTTATTATTGTCTCAACTATTATTAACAATAAAATCGCTAACTTTAAGCCCCCAATCAATATTATTCCTATCATTGAGGAATTAAATAAAATAAGGGGTAAGGAAAAATTAATTGATGGGTCCAAAAGAAGATGTCTTCACCATTACCAACAATCCACCTCATTCCCTTATGAATAATAAGTCTATTAATAAGAATGTATTTCCAAGCCAAGGGAATAATTTTGTTTAACCTTAGAATTAAAGAGATCAACCTTACGCAAATATTTATTTTTAACTATTTTAACACACCAATTATCCTCATTGGTTAAAACTTTCCATCCCGGTTTAGCCAAGCAAGCCTTACTAAAATGGTCAATACATTTGATTCCAATGCCACCCTGGTTATTTAGGGGACATACCTTCTTCCAGACATCGGTTTCAATTTTGTATCTCCACCCTCGCCCCTTCCCAACAAAAGAAGTCTCTACATTCTTTTATCAATTTTAGTTGTAACTCTGTTGGGCCACTTAAAGCAAGACATTACATAATTCGGTATACTAGTAAGATTACAATTAATAAGATTTAAAGTAAAACTAATGAAAATAACTTGAAAACTTTGAGTTTTAACGATAAGGACAAAATAAATGATAAAGTGAATAGTATTAGGATTGACTTTTTAGTATAAAAATATGATTTTTCGTTAGAGTGAACAATATCGAAAACTTTTCGTTAAAGTTCTCAAGATTTAACCACCCAACAAGTTTTTTGTTTTACACGTTTAATTAATCTATCTCACTGGATCTATCCTCATTGGTTAACATCACTCCCAATACAAGTGATGCACTAATATATCATTTCATCATTCACATATTTCAACAACACTTTCACAATCAACAACAAATAACATTTCAGGTGCACAATTAACATTTAACCACATTGATCAACTAATAAGATCAAATATCCTTTCGTGCCCACCGTTTCAGAATTTTAAAAAATCATTTTAATTGAAAAACAGAAAAGCTATGTGGCTAACTGCTACTGGTTCAGTACTCCTGCTGTTATAAAACAGAATAGCAATGTGGCTAACTGTTACTGGTTCAGTACTCCTGCTGTCAATATTGAGGTAAGGTTCTCTCAGAGTAATTTCATGTAGATAATTTTTTTTTTAAATGTGCTGAATAAATTAAGTATAATAATATAATTAGCTAATTTTTTTTTTTTTTAATAAATTATATTATTATACTTGATAAATCAAATCTTGTTTCCGATATATTCAAAATTTTCTCTAGATAAAGCTCCGCCCACTTTTGACATGCGAGGAGGTTCATTAATCATGATCCGATAACTGTGAGACTTTTGCTGAATTTTCAATCAATCTAGGACGTTCCCTTCCCTTCATGCGCCAGCACTTTGGGGCCCAAAGTTCCCTTCCATAGTACAAGTGTGTGTTTTTGCCAATTTTGGAAATTTTAAGTTTATTTATAGGATTCTTATGTTTTTTTTTTATAAATAAATAAATAGGCACTAAACTCAAATTTTACCCTGAAAATTTCACAGAAAAACGCATGAATCGCTGCCAAATTCCAGACAAACAGACCCTAAATCAAAGATTCAATTATGGGACTGGGTATCAATGAATAAATGCTAAAAAGCTATTGCATAGAAGAGCATTACGAAGTTGTTGATCACAAAACTCCTACCTAGCCGAGCTAGCAAGCTAATAGCTACGTGGGCACATTCTGTATATTTTTCTACATCTCTCTGCCTTCCTGGATCTCTCCAACTTTCTTTTCTTTTCTTTTCTTTGCTGCCAAACAGTGTGTTAGCTTTTGGATGAGGAGGGGGAGGAGGAAGAAGAATCCCCTTTGAAGATTAAGAAGCTGAGATTCTCAAGTGTAAAGCATATGAAAGTTCCTTTACAGTGAGTGAAGAAACACCCAAAATTTGATCCCACCACACATTGCCAACCACATCCATATCTCATGCCAAACTCCTGCATTTGATTTTCATATCAAAAACCCACAAAAATATAGGAATTAAGTTCCTCAGTTAATTTATTTATATATGTGTGCGGGAATTGAGAAAGAATGTACCTTTTTGATGTGGGAAGCTATAGATCTGCAATCAAAGACATCGTGAAGATCCAGAGCTTCAGAAGCAGCTGCCATGGCTTGCAGCTGCATCTTCACTGGCATGTCTGTGTCCTCTATAAGAGCTTTGCCTACCAACATCCTCTCTCTCTCTCTCTCTCTCTCTTCTCCCCCTCTCTCCGTCTCAGAGTGTGATAAGAAGAAAAGAAAACCAAGTCGGGACTTGCACGACTTGGTAGTCCTTATCTCCTAAAAGTTAGAACTAAACAAATAAAATAATATATATATTAATGAATTTGAAAGAGTGTGCTTATCACTTAACAGAAGCAGAAGAAGAGAAATGGCACGTATGTTTTGCAGCTGGATGAGACAGAAAGATAAACCCAGAGACAGGAGCGCTGGATAGGACGGGAGCCGATAAAAGAGAAAGAGGAAGATCCACGCAATTATTTTTGAAGTAATACTAGAAATGTTAAATTTAGAAATTAAAATATGAAAGCTAAATAATATGTAAGTTGGTGATTGATTTATTACTTAAATGTTGATATATGTTCTTATTTTTATTGGTAATGCATTATTTGGTTTGTAATTTTAATTTCTAAATTTAGTCTTCCTAGTATTACTTTTATTTTTACTTTCACACATATTTCAACTTTCGTTTAATGACATAAATAAGATCAACGATAAATGTGTGAATAGAACCATCCAACAAAAAAAAAGAACTGAACTTAGTTACTGAAAATTCAGCAGCAGGTTTTGCTTACATCTAATTCCAACTAGGCACGTATTCAGCAGTGATTAGATGTAAGCAGAAACTGCTCCCAAAAAAATCTGATTGGGCACATTCTCCAACTAAATGTTTTTATTAGTCTTTTCTCCTCAATAGACATTTATATTTGTTTTTACTTTTTTTTTTACTCCAGTATTCTCTGTATTGTTAGTTATATAGTGCGAGTAGATATGTTGCCACCCTCATTCTAGTGTGTTCTGGGTGGAGTAATTGACGATTTGCCATGTTATGTAACGTTTGAGTTGTTTGTTTTGGATAAGAATTTTTGATTGTTTCAAGCATGCTTTGTCATTCCATTTCAAATGACAGTGTCATTATACAGATAAAATAATTTTATAGCCGACAGTTTAACGACTTAAAATCTTGATTTAGATTTAGATAATTTTTTACTTTGATAAATCTCCTTTTTATTCATTTAGTTTTGTATTAAATAGTTTTGTTTGGGATACTAGCTTTTAGCCCCGCTTTTTAACCAAAACAGGTCATTCTACCCAAAATTTAAAGGTGCTCAATACTTATATTTTAGCATGGAGGCGTTGGTCGATTGGCTCGGTGGTCAGCATTTTTTTAACCTATTGTGTGCGGGTTCCAACTATTTCTCTACATTTGATATAAATAAGAAAATGATAATATCTTTTGTAATAAAAGGGGAAATTTTGGATTGAAGCCTAATTTTGCTTGTGAATCCACTTCATTTTCAAGAACTTCTTACGTGTATTAAAAAACTTAAGTACGACAAGGATGATATATCTCATCTTTAGATTATATTAATAAAAAATAATAATTTATATGTTATAATCTGGGAAAACTTTGGTTCCAGTTTCTGGTTCACCAAAATCTTAGGCTTAAATTTATTTATTCGAATACTTTAATTGAAGCAGAAAATATTGAATTTCAGTATTAATTAAGAATTTAATAAAGAAAATAATTCCTTCTAAAATGATGGGAAGATTAATACTAAATAGGGATTTTCAATTTTTTTTTCCTCAAACTTGAATTGTGTGAAATCTCAGAAATTTTTTTTTTTTTTTTTAAATATGGATATGCTTTAAATAGTGATTCATATATATTTAACAAAGTGGTACATTTTTTTTTTATGAAAAATTGGTACATTATAAATATATGAATGGGTACAAATAAAGATGAAAAAAACTATGGGTGCAAATAATAAATTAAAAATATGTGCACAAAAAAAATATATATAAGAGTACAAGTTAAAACTAAAAAGAAAGGAATTAAGTACATAAAACTCCCTAACCTTTTAGTGTCATTCCAAATTGGTCTCAATCTTTTTAAACATTACAAACAAGTACCCAACATATTGAAAATGTCACATCCATTAAGCTCCAATTAAATTTATGTTAAATTAACTGGTTGTTTGTCTCCAACATCAATAGAAAAGTCATAGAAGCATGACTTCTACCAAGTAACGGCCACCATCACCCCTTTCAGGTCATCACTTACAAACCCAACACACAACCACAAACTCTACCCTATAACTTAAGCCGCCAACATCGAGAAGTAGTTCATGGAGGTACTGAAATGGTACGTACTACCACGATGGGGCCACCACCATCTTCACCACCCAAAAAGAAGAATTAGACACTTTACTAGCTAAAAATTGACAAATGAGGAAATCACATGAGTAGAAATAAGCTCCTTGAAACCCTATCTAAATTCTTAACCCACTTCTTTGTTAGGAGATTTCCCGATCTTCATTATTGTTTTCCATTTGATTCGTGAATATGTTTATTTGTTTTTATTTTTTCATCTTCATGTCTTTTTGAAGTTATTTTTATTGTTATTTCAGTGGCTCAGTAAGCAAATAAGTAGGAACCATTGTTACCACATGTACATTTAATGGAAAAATTAAATGGGACTGAACAAATTTGACATTTCAAATGGGTTGGGTACTTGTTTGGAATGTTCAAAAAGATTGAGACCAATTTGCAACGACACTGAAAGGTTTGGAGGCTTTAGGTACTTAACCCAAAAGAAAATTGGTATAAATTTAAAAAATATTTGCAAATTAAAAATGGGTACAAGTCAAAAATAAAAATATGTGATACCAAATTTAGGTAAAAATACAAATATACAAATGAAACGTTTCTACCACTAAATAGATGATTTTAAAATGATTAAATAATTTATTATAAATTATTTAATTGAAATATGTAATGTCTAATTATTGAAATAATGATGTGGATATAAAAGCCAAAGAACCTTGAAAAAATAATTGAGAAAAAAAAAGTTTCAATTGAAGAAATTGAAAAATAGACGCATAACTATATTACATATTTCGTATCATTGTTACAATGTTATCCTCTTATTTGACTTATATCTTATATAATTTTGAGTACTAATTTACATTTTTACACCAACTAGTTTTTCATTTAATATTATAGTACACACATTTTTCTAATGTTAAATGAGGTCCCAAATTTTAATTCTTCTCACTTTATTTCAATCCTATTTTTAGTGGTTTTTTTTTTTTTTTGAACAAACGATATTATCTACACTAAGGGGGAGGGGGTTGGATAAGTCTCACAATGGGCTAGCAATAATGTGGTCCAAATTGGCATTTGGCAAGAATTGAACATAAGACCCCTTACTTATAAGTGTAGAGGAATATCATTAAACTGTAATACTAAAAGACATCCTATTTTTAGTGTTGTATGAGGAGATTATTGTCTCATTAAACCATCTCTAATGGAGTTACTAAATTCGAAGTGGACTGTAGACAGAAGCTATAATTGATATGTCAATAGGAATGGCATATCTATTGTATGTTGTCATTTTTGACATATGAAAAAAATATGATGCCAAATCATTTTGCCAAAAAATGTGTCGTTATGTGGGTCCTAGTAATGCACCAACTATAAATAATAAAAATTAAATTTCATTTATTTGTTCAAAGAGTGGGTCCTATTAATTGAATAAGAAAAAAATACATGGGTTGGAGCAAAAGAAAATTTGATATTGCCACATAAGCCTTTCCATTTGACATGTTTTTTTTAACACCTCTATTAGAGATGCTCTTAGAGCATTTTCAAAAGAGGAATAAAAAAATCCACATTAGCAATAGTGTAAAAAAAAGACAACTTCAGTATTTTTCAACTGAAATGTCAATTCTTACGTGGCATGATGTGCATTGACATCAAAGGTGGTTGTTGTCAAATTTGACAACAACTTCAAATCTATTTTTAGTGATTAATAAATGCCTTTTACTATTTTTATTATTATTTTTTGTACTAGAAATACTTATTACAGTTATAAAAAATAAATAATGCACTAAATAATAGTTTAAATTTGACATATCGGGTGGAGAATAGAATTTAAAAAATGATTAAGGTGCCACATGAGCCTTCAAATTTAAATTTTATGTTTAAATTTTTACATCTCATTTGGAGATGGTCTCAAATGAATAAGGTTAGTCGTTACTTGTTAGACATAATTGGACATAGATCCATTCAAATGTCTATATCTAGAAAGTAAATTACTCATATGAGAGGTCTTAGATTCGATTGTCGCTAAAGACAAATTCAAACTAAATTACTATTGCTAACCTATTTGAGACTTAACCCACGTTAGTGTAAATTATATCATATGAATTAAAGAAAAACTCGCGAAGTTTATAAAAATTCAAGTCATCCTGTTACGTCTTTTCCAAAACCTGTCTCCCTTACAAAGGTTTGTCTGGATGCAACATTATTTATTTTCACTGACAAATGAGAAGGATAGAACATTAGTTTTGAAAGTAGACAATGTTGGGAAAATTAGGGTTTGATTGTTATATTTAATCATATAGAAATCAAGAATAATTCTATGCAATTAATATCAATTTTAATGCATACTTATAATGATAAACAATACTGATGCACATAAGAATTGAGCTGGAAACACCTAAAACTGGTCAAAACAATTGTTTGACATTATGTTTTTACAGAAAGATAATGTAGAAACTTGACTCAACCTAAATACAAATAACAATGTAGAAACTTGAGAGACATACATTACAGAAAGATACGACATTGGGATAGGTAGCTTTTGGACTTTAAGTCTTCGTAATGAATTACTATTGGATTTACTTGGCTAATTAATGAGCGCGCTGTCATGAATTGCTCAGTTATTTATGTAAACTCAGACAATAGTATGTAATTATATGAGTATGAAAGTGATTATTATAGCGGGTTGATTCAAATTGGTGCAGAAAGTCTTATGAAAAGAGGATTATTTTGTCCTAATGTACATGAAACTGGACTTGGTTTATAAACTAGGTTTTACCACTTATAATTTGGTAAGAAGACCATCTTGGTGTTTTATTTGGATTCTAATAGGAGAATCATATGAATTGTTTGTCTACATAAATAGTGGTCATGCTTTCACTAAAAAAAAAGCGCTCATTATTGAACTTAGACTTATTGTAAGTCAAGCATAAAATTTTTGCAAGAGATGAGAAGCTTACTATTGAAGTTGGCTATAGCTTTACCTTCTTTGAATTTTAAAAGGTCAAATTAGTTCTTACATGTGGTATTGAAACCTAATTTGAGAACTTTCAAGATTTTCCTATAGTATTTGATTTGTATCTATAAGCATATGTGCTCCTGATTTAA